CTTACCATCAGTAGGGACGGTGAATTTGGCATAGGATTACAAAGGCTGGTAGCTTAGTTTGCACATTCTCTAACTTACTAAAAGATGTTATATAAAAACCTTGACTAAATCCGTAATGGGCGATGAAGGCCAATATCTATGCCATCATCTGATAAAGATCATGAGCAACTTGGAATGGAAGAAAAGTAATTAGTAAAGAGATGAATTAATAAATTAAAGAAAAACATACCATTTGCATGTGAAACTGAGTTTATGGAATTATGTTATTACTGTGAACGGTGATGGTATTTGCACTTCATGGAAAAATTTGAAGGCACAACAAAGCAAATGGAAAATGAGAGGTTGAGGTTCTAGTTGAAGTAAGCAGCTGCCTTTCATACCAGACAGTGCCAAAGGAATGACAAACATTAAGCATATTTAGCATCCATGTAAATAGTCACATTCTACTAGTTCATGGGTACAAGCAAAAACCACAAGTTCTGTGGCTTGAGCAGAGCTCATCTCAGGCAAAGGAAAACATTAGAATACAGCACAGTGAGAACATACAAAATAGCCAGCTCATAAATTTCCAGTTTGATCCCAGTGACTAGAACCATTAATGAAAATGATTAAATCGGGGTTATCAAGAAGGTATATCAGAAAGGTCAGGTCAGAAAAGCAAAAACTTCAGAACTGAGAAACATACTACTTGGATCCAGGAAGAGAGAAGGTGGAATATTCCTAGAAGCAAGAAGAATATCTTAGTGGGTGAGTCTTTAAGGAGAAAGGAATTCTATACACTGATTTGAAGAAGGTATGAACTGTGTCAGGAGTACTCAAGAACCAGATTCAGGGATTTCTTAACCAAAAAGGCTGTTGCTGTGACTGTATAGACAAGAAGGAATCCCTTTAGCAATTGCATCAACCAGCTGGCACTCCCCATCCCTCACAAAATGAAAGATACTTTGAAGTTAGATTGCCACTAAATAGTAACAATAGTCAGAGATAAAAGCTAGTTCTGCTTCCTCATCCTACTGCCTCTCCACTATGCTCCCACTAAGAGTTGGGAGCAACATCTAAAGACATTGTACAGAAGTCTAGGAAGGATAAAATATTCAGGAATCCCCTGATGAAAGTAAGTAGCAGTTCCCAGGAAAGCCATCAAAGTCCAGGTAAAGGTGGGAATCAATAGCAAAAAGATTAGAAAGTTGTAATTTACATTCATGAGCAGACATGAGATCCCCTTGATTGATGTGTGAGAGAAAAAAATGCAGCTTTTCATACCGCAGGGTCTTGGACATTAGATGCAATGACCAAACAAGGCCTTAAAGATGTAGATATGTCACTGGCATGGGGATCAGAATATAGAGCAGAGCCCATGAGATGGTTATGTTGATACTGAATTTGAACTTTTGTTTATAGTCTTATGCCAGCTGCCAATTGTGTAACTATCATGTTGTTGTTTGAATGTATTTTTTAATTGTTGTTAACCACCAAAAGTCACAATAAGAAGATGGGTAGTAATAAATAAACAAACAGAGTGATTCTTCAGGGAGAATTAAATATGCTAAGGTCTCATTGAGAGATAACACAAAGTAGGTCAGGGAATTCTGGAAATTCAAGGATAGGCACGTCCAGGTGTAGTAGTCTGCTCAGTAAATGAAAGTAAATAATGAGTGTAAATCAGGGTGTATATGCTGATTATAGTATACTTGAATACCGGTATAAAAATGAATTGTTTAATCAAAGTTTTCAAACATTCTTTAAAAAATAAGCTCTGTGTGATTTTTCTGCAAGAAGCCTGTCTGGTCCAATAAAATAAGAATGTGTTAGAAGAAGAGGACATTGAAGAATTGTCCTAGGACCTAGTGGGATTCTGCTTTGCAGAAAAACAACACAGAAATCCAGAATGTCAGGCACCCCCCCCCAATTAATATTAGCAAATAAAAATTAGGATTACCTTCTTTATATTTATTGAATTTAGCACAGATTATTGAATACACTGCAAGTTGAAATGGGGATTAAGGTTTTTTTTCCAATATCTATGAAAATTGTAAAGAATCACATGGTGATACCACAAGGGTATATGGCTATATATATATCCTGTTTTTGAACAGGCTCCCATAAGGGGAATACTAGCTTGAGAATACTAATATTGCTCTGTGACTGGTGTTCTGTCTGCACAATCATTGGTAGGAAGAATTATAATAACAATTTATGACATAGTGAGTCTTAGACTCTTTAACAAACTCAGTGAGATACCCAGCAGGCAATCTTCAAAGTCTATTGGACAGTACGCGGATTGCCTGATAATCGGATCATTGCCTTATACTATATAAGGTTCAGCCAATAATCTTGTGTCGAGGCTATTCCCCCCCACACACACACTTCATGGACACAGCAGGCATAATATACAATAATATGAAACAATAGGAAGAGAGATGCTTAGTTGCAATGAAAGTCTATATATAACAATGAAAGCTTAAGTGGAGATTCACCTTAAGGAATAAGTAAAAATGAGGACAATGCTATTAAAATGATAGGTGCTTAAAGCGGAATTGGAATGTCGGATGAACAGGCTGACTGAATAAAATCCTTGTTTACAGGAACTATCAACATAAAATAACGAATATCATAAATAGAGAGAAATATTTTTGTTAAAGCTAATTTCAGATTTGATATCTAAGGTATTTAAATCAAACAGTGTTGTTGTTTTATTAAAAAGGAAAGTTTTTAATTATCCTATGCTACTTTAATTATTAATATAAGTGCATGTTAAAAACAAGACATATGCTTTAAATAAGGAATTCTAAAAGGAATTTTATAACTAGGTTTTGAAATCTAGGTCAGTTGCCACTGAACTTTTTCCAGTGTCAATGCATTGGTTGCAATCATTTATCAATTTGGCAATTGATTTATCATTTATCAATTTATCAACTTCCATTGCTTCTTCTAATCTTGGGTAATTTGCCCTACTTAATTCTTTGCTTCCAGATGGGCTACATTTGCCACCCAATCAGTTTGTTTCACTTCAGTAGTCATTTCCTTTTAACAGTAAACTAACACTATTTGAGAGGAATAATCCGCCTGCAAATTCAGCATAGGGTAAAAAGCCCTTATTTATCCTGTGTTTTGTACTTTGAATTGAAGCATTATCAATAAGAGTAAGCAATAAAAAAACACCTTAGGGGCCTGAGAAGAGCAATGTAACCAATTACATTTAATTAAATCAAAGGATGGGAGCAGTAGGGATGAATGAGCTGAAGAATGAATTTGCATTAACACCTAGCAGCCACACATATAGTCATTGGTTTAGTCTGAAGCTGCATTTCTTGCTATCTCTTCTACTCACTAAAAGGAGCCATTAGCTAAATGATGAGGCATTATTTACTCAATGATATAAGGGCAGCTTTCCCCACATTTTTACTTCCTAGTATAGGAAAAGAGATCTCTAACCCATGCTTTATTCAGAGTAAAATGAAGAGAATAAGTCATCATCTTTTAAAAACTGAGTTCTGAAATCTATGAATATTAAATGATACAAAATTAAAGGGGCAATAGAAAAGAGTCTATGGTACAAAACATGGCAAGAAGAAACTGATACTCAAATTACAGCGCTTGATCAGAGAATATTTTTCTGTATACCCTTGCCATGTTTCAGAAACAGAAAAGGAATAATTAACACAGCTAAATTTAAGATATCAAGAAGAAACACACTATCATATAATAGAGTCCCTCTGTGAGGGAGATGGGTTTTTTAACATGTGATAGATAAACAAACAAACAAACAAACAATATACCAAGAAAGAGTTTCTAAACAATAAATATACCAAGAAAGGTTTTCTAAAATCCAAGAAATGAAAAAAAAGTCTTAAAGAATATATTTAATCATTAAAGATTGTTTTTCCCTACAGTTTATAAGATACTAATGTAATAATCAGGAGACAATAATAAACTATATTCTGGCAACACTAAGTCCCACATTTTGTGAGGAAAATGTAATTCATTAATAGCTCCAACATATTTGTCCTTCGTGCTACAAACCTAGCAAAAAACCTATTTTTTTCAAGTGAAAATTAAGCCTATTTTTTTTTTCAGAAATGCATGCAAATAGACTGCAAGGTTTTTAAATCACTCTTCTCTGTGACTCCCACTAAAAGATTGAATTTATAAAATGACTTTTCATAGGCAATCAATGCTTATTGTGCCCTGGTGATTTAATGGAAAGAAAGCCAAGGCAGTTCTGTGAAAAATACCTGCTGTACAATAATCTCATGATTTAAGGTTCAAAGAAAAGTGCATCTAACAATAAAATGTTTATATGATGAAACTTTATGTGATACCTCAGGTTCTAAAATAGTATGCATACGTTTTGCTAACTTTATGTTCTGAAAGGTTTAAACTAAAGTTTGTCTATGCGTATGAGAGAACTGATACAACAGTTGAAGTATGTCTATAATAAATTGTATGTCTATCCACAAGAGAATTGTTAGTGCTTGAACCATCACATCAATTATTATAGTGATATACATACAAGGCCTGACCAAGCCTTTCAGTGATCAATAACTCACTCATTAACTATTAATAACTAATACTGAATAGTTGAGCCAAGGAATGAAATGAATAGATATTTAGATCTATTATCAATCCCAGAAGCTTACCAGTTGATTTTAGGTCAGACTTTGGGCAATGTTATGTAATGTTTTATTGCTGTTACTGGGTTTGGGATTTTGTTATTTTTCTTTTGTTATAATTGCTATTTCATATCTGTGTTATTTCTAAGCTAATTACTGTGGTACTTCTTCAGAATTAAATGACATACACATTGCAATTTTAAATAAAAAACAGATTGTTGCTGTATACACTCTCCTTGTAAAGGCTGTACAAATATACTGTATGTCAAGTACCAATTGGATCTGTGTACTTTTAATCTTATTATTCCAGTCTCCTAGATCAATACTGGGTGAAGTGCCAGTCACTCAGTATATGAAAAAAACTCTCTTCTGTTATATTTAACCCAGGTTCTGAGACCATGATCAAGACACCAATCAAAATAGTTTGTTGCAGCAGCAGCAGCAGCACCTTGGATAAAGAATAATTATCTGGAGATAAAAAAAAAATGTGGAGCCTACTTTTTTACTTTCTTAGTGCTAGGTAATGATAGTTTATTTCTCTTTAGTTTTTTTAATTTCATTATTATACTGTTGCTGTGTTGTGTTTTAACTTATATATCTGTGATATGTTTAGCTGTTATAGTGTTTTTAGCATGTTGCTTTAATTCAATGTTTAAGGTCTGTTGCTTTTTCTTATCCCCATACAATGGTACTCTTCTAATTGATATTTTCCTCTAGTTTTAATGTTGGTATTATCTAAAGTATCATTAACTGTATTATTTCTGTTGTGTTGGTAAATTTAGTGAATCTCTCTTAGCATTTTTAATCTGAAAAGTTGTGATACAAGTTTAAACAAATTAATTTAGGTTCAAACATGCCTTGAAATCAGAACTTTTCAAATTTATAGTAGTTGGAACCTAGAAAACATTATTCTTTGAATTTAGTTTGGGTTAATGAACATTTAGAATTAATGGAGATAAGAGTATCAAAACTGAATGAGAGTTGAGTACTGTTGCTCCCATTTCCTTTATGTTCAAGTTCTTTTCCTCTTGAGTTGCGGGGATTTTACATCTGTTAAACCTGATTCACAGCAGTACAGAATGTTTCTGCACCTATTCTAGAACTTTTGATTAAACACTTGGAGAGAGGGCAAAAGTCATAACACATTACTTTAAAATAGTATTTCTTAAACTTTTTGCTCTCAGGACACCTGCCATGGCCCTGATTTTTAGAGTCAGATTCTGAGTCTGAAGCTGATGAAACTGTTCCAAATGAGCCTCTGGAATTTAGCTTCAGGAAGGACAATTCCAGATACCACATGAGGTTGATCAATTACAAATGCCACCTGAACAGCTGGATCCATCAGAAGGAGGATGACTTAAGATTTACCAGTCCCTGCACTAGAGAGCAGGAAGGAGAGCAGAACAGAGGAAGTTTATAACATCTTCATCAATGATTTGGATGAGAGGACAGATGGGGATAGATGGGGAACTCATCAAATTTGCAGACAACACCAAGCTGGCAGGAATAGCCAACACTCCAGAAGATAGGCTTAAAATTCAGAAGGATCTTGACTAACTTGAACATTGGGCGCTATCTAACAAAATAAAATTCAATGGTGAAAAAAGTAAGTTTCTACATTTAAGCAAGAAAAACCAAATGCATAGATACAGTACTTCACTCAATATTAGTAACTGTGAGAGGGATCTCAGAGTCCTAGTGGACAATCACTTAAATATGAGCCAGCAGTGTGCTGCAGCTGCCAAAAAAGCCAACACAGTGCTAGGCTGCATTAATAGAGGGATAGAATCAAGATCACGTGAAGTGTTAATACCACTTTATAATGCCTTAGTAAGGCAACACTTGGAATACTGCATCCAGTTTTGGTCACCACGATGTAAAAAAGATGTACAGAGAAAGAGTACAGTAAAGAGCAAAAAAGATGATCAGGGGACTGGAGGCTAAAACATATAAAGAACGGTTGCTGGAATTGGATATGTCTAGTTTAATGAAGAGAAGGACTATGGGTGACTTGATAGCAGTGTTCCAATATCTTAGGGGTTGCCACAAAGAAGAGGGAGTCAAGCTATTCTCCAAAGCACCTGAAGACAGGACAACAAGCAATGGATGGAAACTAATCAAAGAGAGAAGCAACCTAGAATTAAGGAGAAATTTCCTGACGATATCATCATCATCATTATTGTTGTTGTTATTAATAATAATAATAATAATAATAATAATAATAATAATAATAATAATTGCACAAGTCAGCCTGGATTTGGCATTTTTGTCTACCTATTGAGTCCTTACCAAGGACCTGGGATAAGCAGATCTGGATGTTTGATGGTGTTACAGATTTGTCACAGGATGGAAGCTGTTCCTAGTAAGGCTGCCTTTTGCAATTGACTGATGGTGAATTTTTCAAGGCCAATGGTGTTCAAGTAGTGCTCCAGTTGTTTTGGGATTGCACCCAAGGCGCCTATTACTATTGACACTATACTTGCCTGCCTTTGCCATTGTCATTCTATTTCTGTTTGTAGGTCTTTGTATTTTGTTATCTTCTCCAGTTCTTTCTTTTCTATTCTTCTGTCTCCAGGCACTGCCACGTCCACTATCCAGACTTTTTTTGTCTTTCTTATCTTTCTGATGGAAAGATATAAACTGTTCAAGAAACAGACCCAATAAAAGAGGCGGTGGAGTTGCATTATATGTAAGAAATCACTACATCTCTACAGAAATGCCTAAAATCAAGGATGAAAGCCTCCTTGAGTGCATGTGGGTTAATATAAAAAGAAAAAATGACATAGGCCATACTACAGGCCACCCAACCAAGCAGAAGTAATAGATAAAACTTTCTGGTAGTCAGCTAATGTGTGCAGAAAACACACCACACTAGTAAGGGGGGACTTTAACCTGACATCAATCAGGAGACAAACTCTGCATCAAGTGGGAGATCAAACAGGTTCCTAATGAGCCTAGCTGACAATTTTGTCAAAAGTTAGAGGAGGGAACTAGAGGGTCAGCCATACTGGACCTAATTCTTACTAACAGAGAAGAAATGATAGAGGGGGTTGAAGTTGTAGGAGCTTTGAGCAGAATGACCATGTTATATTAGAATTCCTAGTTTAACGAAGAGAAGGATGAGGGGGGACATGATAGCAGTGTTCCAATATCTCAGGGGCTGCCACAAAGAAGAGGGAGTCAAGCTATTCTCCAAAGCGCCTGAAGGCAGGACAAGAAGCAACAGGTGGAAACTAACCAAAGAGAGAAACAACCTAGAACTAAGGAGAAACTTCCTGACAGTTAGAACAATTAACCAGTGGAACAACCTGCCTCCAGAAGCAGTGAATGCTCCAACACTGGAAGTTTTTAAGAAGAAACTGGACAGCCATTTGTCCAAAATGGTATAGGGTTTCCTGCCTGAGCAGGAGGTTGGACTAGATGACCTCCAAGGTCCCTTCCAACATTATTATTATCGATCATCGCACAGTCAGCCAGATGTTCAGACTGGATTTGGCATTTTGTCTACCTATCGAGTCCTTACCCAGGACCTGGGATAGGCAGATGTGGATGTTTGATGGTATTACAGGTATCGTCGCAGGATGGAAGCAGTTCCTAATAAGGCCGCCTTTTGCAATTGACTAATAGCGAATTTGTCAATGCCAATGGTGTTCAAGTGGTGCTCCAGTTGTTTTGGGATTGCACCCAAGGAGCCTATGACTATTGGTACTACCCTTGCTTGCTTTTGCCACAGTCTTTCTATTTCTATTTGTAGGTCTTTGTATTTTGTTATCTTCTCCAGTTCTTTCTCTTCTATTCTGCTGTCTCCAGGCACTGCCACGTCCACTATCCAGACTTTTTTGTCTTTCTTATCGACAATTGTTAAGTCTGGGGTGTTATGTTGCAGGTGCTTGTCTGTTTGAATTCTGAAGTCCCAGAGCAGTTTAATTTTATCATTTTCTATGACTTTCTCTATTTTATGATCCCACCAGTTTTTGCTTACAGGCAAATGATATTTTTTGCAGATCTTCCAATGCACCATTGTTGCTACTTTGTCATGCCGCTGCTTGTAATCAGTCTGTGCAATCTTCTTGCAACAGCTTACCAAGTGGTCCACTGTTTCTTCAGCTTCTTTGCATAGGCGGCACTTACTGTCTGTTGCTGTCTTCTCAATTTTGACTTTGTATGCATTTGTCCTTAAGGCTTGGTCTTGTGCAGCCAGAATTAGTCCCTCGGTCTCTTTCTTCAATTTTCCTGCTCTTAGCCATTGCCAGGTTTTATTATTATCTGCTTTCCCAGCTATTTTTTTCATGTATTGGCCATGTAGTGCTTTGTCTTCCCATGCCTCTATTCTGTTCTTCATTTGGTCTTTCTTGTAGGCCAGTTTGGTCTCTCCAGTAGTTAGTAAGCCTTCCTGATATACTAATTTCAGTGCATCTTCATCATTGTTCTTCAGATATTCTTCCAAAGCCATTTTTTCTTCTTCAACCATCTGATGTACTTGTAGCATTCCACGCCCACCTATTTGCCTTGGTAGATAAAGTCTATCAATGTCACTGCGTGGATGAAGGGCATGATTCATTGTCATTATTTTTCTGGTCTGCCTATCCATTGCTTTTAGTTCTGCTTGAGTCCAGTCCACTATTCCAGCTGTGTACCTAATGACTGGGATTGCCCAGGTGTTGATTGCCTTTATGGTATTTCCTCCATTGAGTTTGGATTTTAAGATCTTCTTCACTCTCTTGATGTATTCACCTCTAATCTTTTTCTTGACTTCAGTGTGCTTGATGTTGTCAGCTTGAAGGATACCCAAGTATTTGTAGTATTCTTCCTCATCCAGACTCTTAATGTTATTTTCGTGGGGCATCTTGATTCCTTCAGTTTTCACTATTTTTCCTTGTTTGATAGTAAGTGTGGCACATTTGTCCAAGCCAAACTCCATTACAATATCTTGGCTATATATACGGACAGTGTTGAGCAGCGATTCTATTTCAGATGATGTTTTTCCATACAGCTTCAGATCATCCATATAAAGGAGGTGGGATAGTCTAGCAGATGTTTTTGATGTTTGATACCATGTCCTGAGTTATTAGTATTGTTGACAGAGGAAACAGTGCAATAACAAATAGTAATGGTGATAATGAATCTCCTTGAAATATTCCTCTCTTGATATTAACCTCTCCCAGCCTCTCACCATTGATCTGCAACTGTGTCTTCCATTGTGCCATCGATCTTTGCACAAATTTTCTGATGTTTCTACTGACTCCTGTTATTTCTAGGCACTTGATTATCCATCATGTGGCAGAGAGTCAAATGCCTTTTTGTAGTCAATCCATGCCACATTCAGGTTGGTCTTCCTTCTCTTGCAGTTTTCCAAGATCATTTTGTCTATTAGGAGTTGATCTTTTGTTCCTCTGCTATTGGGGCGGTTTCCTTTCTGCTCAGGTGGAAAGAGATTGTTTTCAACTAGATGCTGTTGTACTGCATCAGCTACCACACCAGTTAGTAATTTGAAAGTTGTTGGTAAGCAGGTAATTGGCCTGTAGTTACCTGGTGTTGCCCCTCTTGTTGGATTTTTCATTATTAGGTAGGTTTTCCCAGTTGTTAGCCACTTTTCAATTTCTCCTCCTTGTAGTATATTGTTGAATTGCTTGGCAATGAGTGGGTGTATAACAGTTAGATGTTTCAACCAAAACCCATGCAGTTCATCTTCACCTGGTGCTGACCAATTTTTGATTTTCTTTGCTCTTTTTTCTACCATTTTTGTTGTTATTACTAGTTCTTTCATTTCAACTTCTGTTTTATTTGCATCCACCTCTTTTAACCAAGCTGCATCCTTGTTGTATTTCTTTGGGTTATCCCATATCTGCTTCCAGAACTGCACTGTTTCTTCCTTGTCAGGTACTGACTGATTCCTTGCAGTTTCTCCATTGATGGATTGGTAGAAACGTTTCTGATTGGATTGAAATTGGAGGTTCTGCCTATAGTTTGCAATTCGAGCTTCATATCTACTGATTTTCCTGGCTATAGCTGTTATTTGTTGCTTTATTATTTCCAGTGCTTCCTTGATCTTCCTTGTTTCTAAGTGGTATTTCTTGATTAGGTATTCTTTGGTCTTCTTGTTCTTCAGCTTCTTTTCTTTCATCTGTTCTAGCTTGCTTGCATGTGATCTTAACTTGCTGATCTTATTTTCTAGTCTAACCTTCCATTTTTCTGGTGCACTGTTTGTTTGTTTTTCTTTTTTGTTGATTTTACATCCCAGGTATTCTGTTATAACTGCAGCTGTGCTGTACATTAATTGGTTTGTTTCTTGCAGTGAATTGGTGCTTATACTTGCTATTGCAGTATTTGCATCTTTTAATGCTTGTGCTAGCTGTTTCTTTGGAACAAGCTTCAATGCAGGCAGCCTTATTCTGTTGTTTTTGTGCTGTTCTAGATGCTCAATTATTCTTTGTTTCAATTCTTTTATTTCTTTAGTTAGAGGGTTTTGTTCTTCC